CCCCAAAACCCCAAAACCCCAAAACCCCAAAACCCCAAAACCCCAAAACCCCAAAACCCCGAGATGGGTAAAAATGATTGTTATATAATATTTTTGTGAAGTAAGCCAACATGTCCCAATTCGATCAAATTAAGTTAGAAATATTCTCATGGACTAAGATCTCCCACGGGCTATTTGATTATCAGAATAAGGACTGTCGCTGATGACATATTAAGGCAGACATTGCCTCACAGGTTTTCTTGAGAATAGAGAATGCTGTCAAAACTTTCAAAACATTAGGCAAGGCTAAACAGTTTTAAAGAAGAGAACTGTCGGTATGTAGGAAGAAAGCAAGATATTGAGACCTGATCTTTCTTGTTTTGTTTTCTTTACAGCGAGGGAAAATTAAACATTTATAGCTATAATCAGCTAGAGGTGATCCTAAATTATTTTGACGATAATCTCTCACTTACAGAAATTGATTTGCAGCTAGGAAGTCTGTTTGAGGGATGTGTAGATGTTAAAGAGGCTAAAGATCTATTGAAATTCTTGAGTGCAGAACCTTTTTCAAAAGATCTTTGGAAAGTTGCCAAGACACTCGACTGGAGGAAGAACTACAGAAGCTTCAAGTTAGTTTCAAAAGGAGTCGAAATTTTTAAAGGAAATATCATTAAAATGGGCCGGCTCAAAATGAGACTGATGGATATGAAACTTCAGGGTCATAATGCTATAGAAAAGAGCAAAGAAAGAGTATTATCTTACCAGATACCAGCACTTAGCGAAGAGGATGGTCCTGTCGATGTAAGAGACATCAGTATTGAGGCAAGTGAACTATCTGAAGAAATTCCTCCATGCAGATTTTGTTTGTCCAATGTGATGGATGACAAATAACAATCCTTTAATCAATCCTTGAAGTTGTAAAGGAACCCAAGGATTATTACACCTTGACTGCTTGAAGTCTTGGATGGAATCGAGTAGAAACCACAAAGTTTTTAGCCAGCACTCAGAGATGTACACTTGGAAGGCATTGCAATGAGAGTTATGTAAGACACCTTATCCATTCAAGATTTGATTTGGTGGGAAAACTGAGAGTTTATTACAATTTAAGATACCAGACGGGGAGTTCTTGGCATTTGAAACCTTTCTAAAAGAAGGCTCTGATAAAGCCACCTCAAAATCTGTTTATATCTTAAATCTGGAAGAAACTGGAAATTACAGAGTCGGTAGAAGCCATGAGGTTGAATTCCATATAGAGGACATTTCAGTGTCTAGATTCCATGGAGAGTTACAAGTCACTCAGAATAAAGTATTTATGCAAGATTATAAGTCTAAATACGGAACTCAGATTTTGGTGAAGGGAGAACAAATTATTGATGAAGCTGACTGCACTAAAAATATGTTTCAAGTTGGTAGAGCTTGGCTGATGGTATCTTATGTTTAAAAAATCAAAGCCTGGAATTTTCTCTTGTTGTCGAAAGAAACAGAATATTGAAGAGCCTACTGAGAGAAGAGATTTAGACCGTAATCCAATTGAGGGAAGGCAAATTCAAGAAACCCATGGGAATCTACTCGATAGTCAGATTTTTCTGAAACTAGAGCAAGATATTGAGGATCTCCAAAAGGATAGAGATAGTGTGTTCTATCTTGATGATGATTTCTATAACAAGCTTGTTGGAATATATAACCAAGACCAGAAAACTAACAGGAGATCGATAGAAGTATATGACCCCAAAGAAACAGTTGATGATCTCAGACCACAAGAAGATTCTAAGAAAGAAGAGTCTGATAGTTCTGACTCAGAAGATGATAATAGTAACTCTTCAGGAATCAATGAATCGGATGAAAGCGATAGCACTCCTTTCCAAGATTCAGAAAGTATAGGAGGCTCTTCGATAGCAGGAGTTGGAGTTACAAATATGAGAAGTCAAGTAATTCAGAAGAAGGGAGCTATTTTTAAAGCAATCCCAAAATAGCATAAATATATTTTATTTATCTTAGATCAATCTTATTTCTATCTCCCGGGGTTTTGGGGTTTTGGGGTTTTGGGGTTTTGGGG